TGAAGAGCGATTACGGTAAAGGGAAATAACCCACTCTTGAATGCTTGAAATACCAGCCGTGACATGTCTTGTTCCCCAGGCAAATAAGGCATTTTTTTCTGTAAATAACTTTCTAAGAAAAATGGTTAGTGTCAAATGTAAAGATTTGTTTAAAATATTTGATTGTATGATCTCACCTTTATATTATCTGAACTTTGGGGCACCAGTAATTGTAAACTCATAGAGTTTGTTCAAATTAAATTTTGTTAGCGTTTTTTAAAAGTTGGTAAACTTACTTTTATTAATGTGGTACTTGGAGAATGTGGTAGAGTTCCTTTACAAACTGTATAAATGACTAAAGCCCCATTCACTTGCACAATTTACTCAGGTAAGTAAATTTGCACATGTGTAAATTTACATACGTGTGTAATAGTGATGTTTTGGTTACGTAATATGTAATTTTCCCCTAAATGAAGATGACATGACACAATTTACTCGCAGTGCAAATTTGCACATGTGTAAATATACTTTTACACCTGGTACTGACCACATGTAAATTTGCTCCTAGTGTATATTTACATACGTGAGTAAATGCGTTCACATGACAGATTTACACACGTATGTCAATTTGCTCATGTGTGTATTTATATGTGCAAACAGGTGCATGTGAACGGGGCTTAAGGTTATCAAATATTGGTGTCATATATTGTACTTACCCCCAAATAGACTCCACTGTTACGAAATGCTGATGTCATCAGAGGATGTTGGACGTGTGACTTTGGCAACTGATGTTAAAATATTTTATGTATATGGTTTTGGAAATGCATGGATCAGTCAGGTTATTGAAATGTTAAGTATTTTATGCTATCTTTCTTTTTAAACACAGACTGACCGAAAACTAAAAACAATCCTGATCCCAGATAGCAATGTCCGTTGGGCCAATGTTGGACCAACATTGGCCATCATTGGGCCTACGTTGGCCAATGTTGGCCCAACGAACATTGCTATCAGGGTATGTACTTCAATTGAAAACGCTCATAAAATTATTTATTATTGTCACCATAAAACCCTATATCAGAAAAATAATACAGAAAAATACTTAAATTTTAATATTTGTTTAAATTTGAGATCTTCCCTTTCAAATTTCAGATGTGGACATTTTAACTTAGCATTAGAGACTGGGGGATATGAAAATATTGCTTCTAGTGAAAGATGTTTCTTCTTTGCTTTTATTTGATTATTTACCAAGTCTGTGTTTTTTGTTTGACGGGATTGGTCGGTCACGTTCGTTGACTTGGTACTTGCACAGATCGGTGCTCATGCTGTTGATCACTGGACTGTCTGGTCCGGCCTCGATTGCACAAAACCGCCGCCATATAATTGAGATATTACTGAATGTGGCTGTAAACAGCAAACAAAACTCAGCAAAATACCACTCCAGAATAGAACAAAACAATATGTTAAATACAGTATGAAAACGATAACATAATTCTTAGTGACTGGTCACATATTTATAGGGGTGAGTTTGCTGGCTGGAACTGTATGACATTTTGCTGACAAATAGTAATCTTGTTAAATGATATGATCTATTTTTATATTTATTTTGACCTCAAGCATGGCCTCCGTTTCGCTTGATTCTTCTCCTTCATCTTCAGTGGAAGATTGTTTTGCAAGATGTAAAATTGGATCGTATTGATACGGTCTAACATCCATTTCAGAAATGACACCAGGAACATCTTTTATTGCTTCAGAATCCACTGACACTGTTAAGTTGTGAGGTAAAATCAAAGAGGAAGCCATCAGCAACAGCCACTTATGACGTCATTTCACGTGATACCCCCTCTGCTCATTAACTGTCGGGTGTTTCCGTAAGAGGCGGAAATACGAGTACGTTTTTGTGTTTTTATTGCTATTTTACAAACTTTTTGTTCAATTTTAATCACGGAATGTGACTTTTAGAATATCCTTTACAATATATCAAAGGTTTTGTTTTCGTTCATATTCTCCTTTAAGCACGTTGAAGCAGACTCTGCTTTGATGGGTCTGTACTTGTGATGAGTGATGAAGCGAACGTACAATATACACTCCCTGAGAGTTCTGCAGCTTCCCCGTTCACCATGCTGCACGCATTTGCGTCCGACAATGTGGCAGCTTGTCAATATGCGTCAATGGTAAATGCTCTAGGTACCGGTTCAAAAACGGAGATTAAAAACACCATTTTCTTAAGTTTAAATTTTAAAGCATATCGCCAAAAAACGTAACTCCAAAACTTTATCTCACGTAACTACAGGATGGGTAAAAGTGGAAAAAACTCTGCCGTTAAAAAATACAGTCGAGCACCGTTTACACGGACGTTTTGGTTACGTCCGAAAATCGTCCGAGTTGTCCGGCTATTTGAATTTGCCAAGAAACATGATCGGGCATCATTGCACAATGAAAATATATTCTTTCATATATACATATTTGTCGCGGATCCTGGCCGCTGATAAATTGGACTGAGGCGTAGTCGTTAAAAGCTGTTTATTCTGTAAAATATAGGAACATCAGTAGAAGGTGATGTATGGCCGTGGCTGACTAGTCTGTCTCAGTCCCCGAACCACATTATTTTCCCTACTCCCAAGCCCTATCTGCAGTGCTAAGTTCTAAAGGGAGCAAGTCTAGATTTCTTCCAGCCTGGTTCCCTGGGTCCGTTGCGCCTGCGCTACGCTCCGACACTGACCCAGGCAACCATGCACTGCCGAATGGCGGCCTTCGCTGCAGGGAGACGCGCCATGCATTTACTATAGGAAAATCCGAGAACGGGTGGTTAGAATTTTTTTCATAGCATTTTCATCGATACTATGGGAAAATATACGTCACCAGAACAACGGCCATCGTTACTTTCAGTGTACAAACACGTTATTTAAGCAGTTTCGAGACACGAAAATCGTCGTTACATTGGCGATATGTAAACAATGACACACACCCTATTTTCGTCACCGACATGTGCTTTGATATTTCGTGTCAGCTCGCTACTGCCACGAAATCGTACATATAAAACATGAATCTGAACGACCACATTGATTGAATATAGTTAGCATCTTTATTTTAGCAAATGTGATGACGAAAATATCGCCGATTATGTCCCGTGTCTTCCATCGTTTCAGGGGGGGGGTTAGGTCGATATATTTTTCGATCGCCTTGTGAAATTACAAGGTAAAGTGTTTAGGATTGATGATGTTAATGACAGGGTTTGTCATTCTGATATTTAGCCTCTACAAAACAACATGAAACAGTTAACAAATATACCAATATCATTCAGAAATGTTTATGGTGATAATAAACATGGTGAATCAAATGATCTATATACAAAAATACACACACATATACAGCTCAAAACAATGAATTAGTTACTTTATATTACTAAACTGAATGTATAAAAATACATGGTATGATCAGTATGTTAAAGCATTGGTATAACATATATGTGAAAAAGAACGTTTTGGACGATAAACATTCCACTATTTGTGAACTGTTGAATTAAGGGTGATTTTTACCAATGAAACCTGTCATGAGAACTGTAGTTTTTATGGCCTTAAGCCAGTATCAGAGTATACATTTGCTGTACATTGATTATTTTGAGCATCATAACCCTGGTGTTATTAGAATAGATCTGATACAAATCATCTGATGTCAGCAATTTTTCAGTCAGATATCAGTTAACTAGTTTGGTTAAATGCTGCTATGGACTCTTTTCTTTACTTTATTATACTTTACAGCAGTGCATGCATACATAATTCAACACACCATCAGTGATTTTGCTTTTGCATTTTGGGTAATTTGCTCTGTACCAGTCCACTATTGTGATTTTATTTTTAAAAAATCAATATTGTAAACTTTTTTGGACCAAAGCACTAACTACTCTTAGTGCACAGAGTAAAGAGGCTGTTACGGTATAGTACAGATGTCAAAAGAAAGTTGAAAATAAACCATGTCAAGATTAATTATGATTTTTAATGTTATGATTGTTCCTATAGTGTGTAATGGTGCAGAAGTATAGGGGACCTCATATTGTAAAAATATTGAAGACGTACAGCATAAAATGTGTAAACGGTTTTTCAAAACAGCAAACAATGCTATGGTTTGGGAAGAATGTGGCAGAACCCCTCTCCAACTTGTGCACACCACAAGCCCTATAAGGTATTGGTGCAGGCTACTGTATTTGGATGAACGCAAACTGCCTCGCAAATGCCGTACCATATGGCCTCCTGATACTAATAATATTCTGTTTAGACTCATTCATATTTAGAATATTCTGATTTGAATATGTGCGGTTAGCACAAGATGTGAAGATCACTTGACAACCTACAACAATCAGGGTGTAGTTCTGTCAACAGTTTATCAGTTTATTTTAAATCACTGTTAAATGTGGAAATGAATTTTACATTCCCTATCCCTGTAACCTAAGACTGCCCATGACCTTTTCAGATGTAGTAGGTTTAAACTTCCAGTCGGTTTTGGAAGATACACAAATGTCCCATACACTGAATAAATATTGTATATTAAGGGGAAGATCTTTTGTTGAAGATGAGTTTCATATGCATGTATTGCTTGTATGTGAGCATTATTCAGCCATAGGGGCGGTGGGGTAGCCCAGTGGCTAAAGCGTTCGTTCGTCACACCGAAGACCCGGGTTCGATTCCCCATATGGGTACAATGTGTGAAGCCCATTTCTGGTGTCCCCCGCCATGATATTGGTGGAATATTGCTAAAAGCGGCGTAAAACCATACATACTCACTCACTACTCAGCCACAAGAATTATGTATATGTCTTAAACAATAATATATATATAAAGTCTGTAACACACTGTAACATTTTTTATCGGATCGATCATCATGCTGTTGATCTCTGGATTGCCTGGTCCAGTCTGGAATAGAACCATGTGCACCCTTAAACAACAAACCAACCAACATCTTTTATCGAAATTCTTTCATCTGAAATCTTCGACAGACAGACAAGACAACTTTGATGTTGTGTACAACTCATGTCTATATTTATATTAAACAGCTAAGGGAATTATAATAGAATTGCTTCATTGGCATGCGTGTTTCATGCAATCAAAGGGTGTCCTCCCATTACGCAGACAGCCAGTTCGCAGACACCTTAACAACAACATTTACGGTTCAGTGAACAGATTATCTACTACCTGTTACCTGCACATTATATTGGAATAGTCCAAATAAAAACACAGGAACAAACTGAATAATATCTATTTTGAAAGATGGATGAAAAGACAGTAATTTGAACAGTTTATTTTCATAAACATTTCTAGTCTAACGGGAGTCGGCATCATCATATTGAAAACATTAGCTTCTCTATTAGAAATTGCGACACTGTTGTATCATATAAGTCAAATAAAGACAAATGTGAACCTAAATATTATTCATATGGAATAAAGAAGTCATATGTTTTGCACACAATATTAAGATATATGATATATGCACTTAATTACGATATATTTAGAATAATTTTTTTTTAAAATGACGCATCATGTCAATGTGGCCATAGATGTGAGAATGTTTTTCATTACGTCCTTGAATGTCCATTGTATACTACACAAAGACATAAACTGTTAAAATCTTAAGAAAGTATTGCTAAAATTAGAACACTGATTGGTATTAATCGTATCTTACATGGCAATGCAGGTGTCTCATTTACTACAAATCAGAATGTTTTCAAATATGTACATATCTATATCTCTCCAACAAAACGTTTTCTCAATTAAGTTCTGTTGTACATATGCTATTATTGGGAGGGGGGCTTTTCTATCAATAAACACAATATAACCTCTCAGTGACAAACCTGTTTTTATATTCGATAGTAATTGATAGTAAAATCAATTTTGATAAGAGAAATGATATATCATTTAATCACAACAAAGTTCTATTTACCCACAATCAAACTTCTCAGTAACGAACCTGTTTCAGGCTCACCCTGCTCTACTCACTAGACAGTGGACTGTTCCATTATACCCGTAGGTGTTACCCTAATTAACCTTCTAGTTCAGTGTCTGCCAATTGGTTGTCTGTCAAATGGGTGTCTGTCAAATGGGAGATAACCTTCAGATAGTCTGTATTTATGAGTGGGCTCTTTCAAAACAAGCTAAAACACACACAGTTATGAATATTTCATAATGTGTCCGTTTTCCTATTATATACAAAACTGTACCTATATATGGGGTGGGGAATGGGGTACATTCCATGTTATATATAATGGTCCGATGTGTAATCGACTTCCCAGTAGAATCACGCAGATGTTGCCATACTATGACTATTGTTAAACTTTTTAAGATCAATGCCTATTGCATCACCGTGATCAGCCCAATGTTATATTGAAATGATTTATGCCAAATGAATACAAATAATAAATAGGCCATATTCTTCTATCATTATTGCATTTTTGAAAGCACATACATCGTTAAAAAAAACCATCGTTGAATGAATCATTTATGTGTTTCAAATGTATTAGAAATAATTATTATTAATTATATAATGTGGTAACAACCATTTTCTAGTTACTATTACTGGGCGTTCAGTTTATTTCCAACACACAAAACAGGTGAAATGGGGGCCAAATCATCGAATTACACGTGATCACATTTGCTAAAATAAAGATGCTAACTATATTCAATCAATGTGGTCGTTCAGATTCATGTTTTATATGTACGATTTCGTGGCAATAGCGAGCTGACACGAAATATCAAAGCACATGTCGGTGATGAAAATAGGGTGTGTGTCATTGTTTACATATCGCCAATGTAACGACGATTTTCGTGTCTCGAAACTGCTTAAATAACGTGTTTGTACACTGAAAGTAACGATGGCCGTTGTTCTGGTGACGTATATTTTCCCATAGTATCGATGAAAATGCTATGAAAAAATTCTAACCACCCGTTCTCGGATTTTCCTATAGTAAATGCATGGCGCGTCTCCCTGCAGCGAAGGCCGCCATTCGGCAGTGCATGGTTGCCTGGGTCAGTGTCGGAGCGTAGCGCAGGCGCAACGGACCCAGGGAACCAGACTGGAGGAAATCTAGACTTGCTCCCTTTAGAACTTAGCACTGCAGATAGGGCTTGGGAGTAGGGAAAATAATGTGGTTCGGGGTTGTGTTGAAGTAAGCGATACACAATGCACGGGGAAATACATCCGGCGACATATACTACACATCAAAACTTAAGACTCACTTAAAAAAACTCACTATATGTTATGTATATATATATATGGTTACATTGAAGATGAATTTCTCTACAACTTTGGGGAACCAACTGCGAACCTTATGCTGATGAGTTGCACGAGCGCGAGGACCATGCATCAAATTGCTGAAAGGTATGTGCAACTAGCGTGCATGTGACCAGCTGCGTTTTGGTGTTGAGTTTTGTTAAGAATTCGCCAATTTTCACTGAGTTTCATCATTTATTGAACTCATGACAATAATCTTTTCAACGTTACGAATTTGTTTTACAATACATCAGAAAATATTAAAATTATATGAAATATAGGCTTATATGCAATTGTAGGAGGGGGGCATTGATTTTGTACATGAGATGCAGGGAGGTGTGTGTGTTAGTGTGTGTGTGTGTGTGTGTGTGTGGGGGGGGGTGCTTACATTGTGCATAAATTTTAGGGAGGTCATTCACATTGTATATGTTTCTCCATAAATATATTCATCACCCCCTTAGTAATAAACTATGAACAGTCCCTTATGAAGTAAAGAAGTCAGGGAGCACAGTCTGTTTCGTTGGTTTAAAGTCTGTTAATTTTTCAGAATTCTTAAGAAATTCCTAACTACTTATCTTTAGCTTCAAAATGTCCCCAATTGTAGATTTTCCTCTGGCATGTCCAAAAGATTCCTCAAATTGCTTACCGATTTGGGCGTAAACTGGCTGAAGGATTGCTTTCTTTAAATTTGCAAATCACGCTTCTCGGTTGCAGTGACAAAGTGACAGATTGCATTATATACAGTAGTTGGCCATAAGTGAGTCATCACTAGTGAAATTTCCATAGACTTACATGTTAATTAACTGTTGCCAGAACAATGTTCATACATTGTGTAGAAGTCATTTTATTTTGATATTTTGCAAACATCTTGGAAATCATCTTCAGCTACGTGGACATAATTTTCTTTCATTTTTCCGTTGATTAGTTATCGAATGACACCTGATAAAGCGCCATATATATATGTACAACTTTTAATCTATCCCATAGACAGCCACGTGAAACCTGATTGGTATGTCAAATATATGTTGTTTAAATAGTCATCGGAAAATTGAATGGGAATTATGAGATGATTTCCCAGCATTCCCTATAAAATGGGCAAAAGCAATAATTGTGCCAATATATAAAAAAGGCGATATTAACAATGCGGAAAATTATCGCGCCATTTCCCTTTGAAGTATTTTTGGTAAAATATATACAAACATTTTAAATAACCGCCTGGTATTCTGGTCAGACAGTTTGGATATGATAAATGAAGAACAAGCAGGTTTTAGAGCAGGCTATACTACAACAGATAATATATTTGTTTTCCAAGCAGTAATTTGTAAACATGTTTCTAAGAAAGGTGGCAAACTGTATGCATGTTTTGTAGATTTTTCCAAGGCATTTGATTCAGTACAGCGACACAACTTATGGTATGTCTTTAATAAACACGGTCTCCATTCAAAAATGGATAAAACATTAAAAAGTATTTATGAAAATGTTAAAGCCTGTGTCCGCACAAACAACAATGTTCTTACAGACGTATTTGACTGTCCTGTTGGTGTTAGGCAAGGTTGTGTCCTAATCCCTTTCCTATTTTCGTTTTTTATCAACGATCTAGTGTCTGAGATTAACCATTCATGTTCCACTGGCGTCCAATTATATCCAGATCTTATTGAAATATTTATGTTGATGTTTGCCGATGATGTGGTGTTTTTCTCAGAGTCAGTGATTGGTCTACAGAGCCAAATTAATGCTTTAGAAACCTACTGTAATAAATGGTCCTTAAATGTTAACCTTGATAAAACTAAAATTATGATTTTTAAAAAAGGACCTAAACTATCAAATTCAGAAAAATGGACATATAAATCAGCTATGCTTGAAGTCGTTACATCGCACCAGTACCTTGGAGTATCATTTAATAGAACTCTAAATTGGTCCCTCTCTGCCAAACACATTTCACTTAAGGCAAAGAAAGCTTTAGTGTGTATTACAAAATGCCTTTGTAGCTTTAAAGACTTATCATATGATGTCTATTTCAAAATATTCGACTGTAAGATACTACCCATATTATTGTATGGGTCAGAATTATGGGGCTTTCACAAACATGATTATTGTCTGGAAAGGGTATTGCTTTATACATGTAAACGATTCCATGGTGTTTACCATGTCTACAATTGTCCTTGGAGAAACTGGTAGATATCCTATTCATGTGTACACTCTAAAACGCTGTATTGCTTACTGGCTTAAGCTCCTCTCCATGCCCTGTTCACGCTACCCATTTAAAGCTTACAAAATGTTATGTAATCTAGATTTAAACGCAAGCGCCGAGCGTAATAGGTTTAATTGGGCTACGCATGTAAAAACGGGATGGCCTAAAAGTCGAGCCAAGAAAAGTCGGGCCGGGCCGGGCCCGGTAATACTAAAAAATGGATTGCAGAATATTAAAACGAAACCTGCAAATTTGGGTCGATACACTTCCTGCCTTCACAAATGCATAGTTTGATTGAAAATGTAAAGTTAATGGTGAAAAAAAAACCACAACAACAATGACTACATACCGAGATTCTCGTAGAAAAGACACCGTCTTGTTGTTATGTGTTTTCCTTGATATGTCTATGAGGGAAGGTTGCTTACTTCTCTTAGCGTGTGACATCCGGGGGTCCTGGGCAGGAAGTGACAGTGTTTTGACTGCTTTTCTTTCCTTAATTAAGATATAAGGGTTCCCTAATTAACCTTTATTGTCTCAGGCTGAATCAGAACAGGATGTTTATGTAAAAGAGACGTGGATATCAGCAAGTGTCAATGGGCAAATATGACATGATTACGTATATTAAAAGAAATATTTGAAATCACAAAATTTTGTAATATGTTATAAAGGATCAAACAAAGTATGCATTCACAAACACAAAAATTCTTATGTGTTTTCATTGTAAACAATACCAGCCCAAATCAGATAGCCAGCGCGTATGCATATGCTTATATTTACGAACACCAAATGGTATTATATCTACCTAAATACCACTTCATAAAGTAAAGTAAAAGTGAAGCACTTTTCTCTCTCCATTCCCAACGATTTAGGAAAACAAAGTCCTCGGAAAACAAAATCTGCAATAGAAATTGTTTAGTCTCTGTTCAGCCCGGCTTGACCCATACTGTCAAAAACATCTTAAACCTCACAGATGTATCTTGAAATGTGTTTAAATCCATAGATTAATATTATATCTACCTACATATCGCTTCACAGAGCCTCAAAGCGTAGTATTTGAAGCAAACACCTTGCTCAAAGTGAAGCCCTATTTTCTATACATTCTCAACAAAGACACAGTATAACACAAGCTTTCGGTCCAGCTTGGCCACGCACCTTATACCTCACAGATGTATCTTGAAATGTGTTTAAATCCATAGATTGGTATTGTATCTACCTAAATATCACTTTGTATTGTTATCAAATGCAACATGCAAAGATAGCTGGTTGGTTAAATTAGCCCTTTTCTCTCTCTATTCTCAACATAGCCTCAATCAAAAGCCCGACTTGGCCCGTGCTGTCGAAAACACCTTAAACCTCACACATGTTTCCTGCTTTCTGTCTATATCTCTAGAATAAAGTTATATCTACCTAAGTACGTCTTTATAGAGTCTCAAAGCGTTGTATTTGAAGCAAACACCTTGCTCAAAGTGAAGCTTTCTTTTCTACATTTTCTCAACAAACAGTATCACAAGCGCACGGTACGCCTTAGCCCGGGCTCACAAAAACAACCTAAACCACACGCATGTATTCTGATTTGTGTTTAAATCCATAGATTAGTACTATATCTACCTAAATATCAATGTGTGATGTTACAAAATGCCACATGTAAAGATAACTGCTCCGTTAAAGTGAAGCCCTTTTCTCTCTCCATTCTCTCCATTCACAATATAGTCTCAATCAGATAGCCAGCGTTTATGCTTATCTGTTCAGCCAAAATGGATCTTGAAGCCTCTCCATTCCCAACGATTTAGGAAAACAAAGTCCTCGGAAAACTAAATCTGCAATAGAAATGTATCTTGAAATGTATTTAAATCCATAGATTAGTAATATATCTACCTACATTTCACTTCACAGAGTCCTAAAGCGTAGTATTTGAAGCAAGCACCTTGCTCAAAGTGAAGCCCTATTTTCTATACATTCTCAACAAAGACACAGTATAACACAAGCTTTTGGCCCGGCTTGGCCCGGGCTCTCAAACGCACCTTATACCTCACAGATGTATCTTGAAATGTGTTTAAATCCATAGATTGGTATTATATCTACCTAAATATCACTTTGTAATGTTATCAAATGCAACATGTAAATATCAGATGATTTGAAAATAGGCCGCTACTGCCCAGCTCGGCCACTTTTATATGGATGCATTTGGAGAAAGTTAGGCGTGACACTGTGGATTTTATGAAAATGTACTTCCCCCACTTCTCTCTCTTATACTTCTATTGTCTGTATGCGTGTTCAGGAAAACAGGATTATCAGAAACGCTTGAAGTTTACAACATTCGGAAACGGCATCTCCGAGTAACCTTTGGCAAAGCTCTCACGGTGAAAACAATGTTCTCCCGAGCCTGAGCTGGGCAACACAGTGTCATTGCCGTGGATGTGTTTTCATACTTTCGTATGTTCAAATTATATAACCATAACATCTCATACGGCAAGTTATTTTAGCTGATACCTTCTGATAGTTATTGAATTACTGATATGTTCAAATCATGTCATAAGCTTCTGCCGGCAATCTATATCTGTACTAGAATGAATTGATGTTTATACTGTGGAAACTGTACGGAGAACATCCTGTATTCTGAAACCACTAAAAACCCCACCTCTTTCAAGCATTTCATGTCATATAATTGGGTATAATATCTTCTGATATTTATTAAGTTAATTATATGTGTAAATCATATCACAAATAGCTTCAGCCTGCCATCTGTATCGGTACTAGTATTCTTGAATGTTTATACTCTGGAACATGTACAATCAATAACACTGAAGGCCCCTGAACGGCAATTAAGGGCAACGATGGAGTATGTTAATTGAAACACAACACCCAGCTGATTTATAACATATGTTATATTTAGGATTACACTTTCTTAGTAAAGTACAAAGTCTAGTACGTTTTTTTAGTTGAGCCCCATGCGGGATTCGAACTCACACCCTCATCCCATCTCTCGCACAGTATTTACCACCTGTTTAAGAGACAGTTGGTAATATACAACAAATCACAGAAGGAATAAAATACATTCAAATATACATAAAAGAATCACTCATTCACAATACATTCATTCACATACAAGTTACATAGATTATAGTGGTATATAGATCAAAGGTAGTCTTGATATAACCTCCTATGATACATGAATTGCAGAGATTTACAAAAGTCATATTGGATATGGTCTGTTTCCATCAGCCAGCAGAATTTTCCTTGGAAGAATTTCTCTCTGGAAGATTAAGAAAATTATCATAAATCTGCATACACTTATGAAACAGTTTTTCACGAATATCTTCATAATGGGCACATGATATCACAAAATGTACCTCATCTTCAACAGAATTTGTAGCACACATTGTGCATAATCTCTCATGGATTGGGGTGACAGGCTTGGTATATCGTCCTTTTTCTAGGTTTAGAGGTAGGCTTCCACAGCGCAGCGATGCCATCAAGCTTCTCTGTTGTCTTGTGATAGATAATCTTGTGTAGTGACAAGTGTTAATGTCTTGTTTATACAGTCTGTAAGTTCTTAATTTGTTGCCATTTGGCTGGTTTTGATCATTAAATAAATCCTGGTACCACTTAGCTCTGTCTTTTGAATCAAGTACTTCTAGGGCTTTATATAACAGTTCTGTTCTGGTTAACTTTGCACAGAAATCATATATATCGCTAAAACCATGAAGTTCAAAGCTTTTTTATAAACTCTAGTGCTCTGTAGTCCCATGATGATTTTCACCGAACAGACCAATTATGTAAAATTCTACAAAGCGAGTTTGGTTACGCAGTACATAGTTTGTGAAAATAGCGGATCACTTCAATCTTTATCTTTGAATCTGAACACCTCCAACCTAAATCACCTCTCACCGCTACTGAGAAAGAATTTTTCCTCACACCAAGAAACAGTCCTGCAGCTTTATTCTGAAGTTTCCCAAGTTCTTTGTGTTGATTTATTCCCCAAAACCTGGCACTGTAATTTATGACTGGTTGCACATAGTTGTCATACAACTTTATGAAAACATCATGGCTAAAACCTCCAAGGAAATTGAATTTTGACATTATTATACCCAGGGCCCCGTTGGCAGATTTGCACATTTCCCTCAAAGATTTTTTAGTCACAATGCTCATCAAGCCGCATACCAAGATACTTATATTCAGAACAGTAATCTATATCCATGTCACCACAGGTGAATCTTTTAGTTGATCGAGGAATAGACACTGGTCTGCAATGCATTATCTTGGTTTTGTCCTTGTTTATGGATAATCCCCACTTAGATGACCAATTGTAGAGACAGTGTAGAAGTTGTTGTAACTTAGTAGCATCTGGAGCTATCAACACAATGTCATGTGCATAGAGTAATATGGATACGTTAATGTGGTCTACATCCACTCCACATTGGCTGTTACCTATTTCGGTACCTCAGTCATCAATATACATAGAGAAGAGTGTAGGAGAAAGACCACATCCTTGTTTTACTCTAATGGTCACACATTAAACCATTCAGTGTTTTCAGTGTTAATTTTTACACAACATTGCACATCTTGATAGAGTGACTGTATGGCACACAGAAAATATCCATGTCATCTTTGACCACAACAAATGTCTCTGAACAGAGTCAAATGCTTTTAACACCAATTAATCTATTGCTTTAAACACATTTCAAGATACATCTGTGAGGTTTAAGGTGCGTTTGAGGGCGCGGGCCAAGCCGGACCGAAAGCTTGTGATACTGTGTCTTTGTTGAGAATGTATAGAAAATAGGGCTTCACTTTGAGCAAGGTGCTTGCTTCAAATACTACGCTTTGAGACTCTATAAAGACGTCCTTAGGTAGATATAACTCTATTCTAGAGATATAGACAGAAATCAGGATACATGAGTGAGGTTTAAGGTGTTTTCGACAGTACGGGCCAAGTCGGGCTGAACAGAGACTATACACTTTTGATTGAGGCTATATAGTGAATGGAGAGGGGAGAGGGCTTCACTTTAACGGAGCAGTTATCTTTACATGTGGCATGTTGTAACATCACACATTGATATTTAGGATACATGTGTGGGATTAAAGTTCTTTTTGAGAGCCAGGGCCAACCGGACCGAAAGCTTGTGATACTGTGTCTTTGTTGAGAATATGTAGAAATAGGGCTTCACTTTGAGCAAGGTGTTTGCTTCAAATACAACGCTTTGAGATTCTGTGAAGTGATATGCAGGTAGATATAACACTAATCTATGGATTTAAACACAAATCAGAATACATGCGTGGGGTTTAAGTTGTTTTTTAGAGCCCGGGCCAAGGCGTACCGAATGCTTGTGATACTGTTTTTTTGATAATATGTAGGAAAGATAGCTTCACTTTGAGCAAGGTGTTTGATTCATATACTACGCTTTGAGACTCTATAAAGACTTACTTAGGTAGATATGACTCTATTCTAGAGATATAGACAGAATCAGGATACATGAGTGAGGTTTAAGGTGTTTTTGACAGCACGGGCCAAGTCGGGCTGAACAGAGACTAAACACTTTTGATTGAGGCTATGTTGAGAATAGAGAGAGAAAAGGGCTTCACTTTAACGAACCAGTTATCTTTACATGTTGCATTTGATAACATTACAAAGTGATATTTAGGTAGAAACAATACCAATCTATGGATTTAAACACATTTCAAGATACATCTGTGAGGTATAAGGTGCGTTTGAGAGCTCGGGCCAAGCCGGACCGAAAGCTTGTGATACTGTGTCTTTGTTGAGAATGTGTAGAAAATAGGGCTTCACTTTGAGCAAGGTGTTTGCTTCAAATACTATGCTTTGAGACTCTGTGAAGTGATATGTAGGTAGATACAATACTAATCTATGGATTTAAACACAAATCAGAATACATGCGTGGGGTTTAAGTTGTTTTTTAGAGCCCGGGCCAAGGCGTACCGAATGCTTGTGATACTGTTTGTTGAGAATATGTATAGAAAAGATAGCTTCACTTTGAGCAAGGTGTTTGCTTCAAATACTACGCTTTGAGACTCTGTGAAGTGATATGTAGGTAGATATAACACTAATCTATGGATATAAATACATTTCAAGATACACGTGTGAGGTTTAAGGTGTTTTTGACAGCACGGGCCAAGTCGGGCTGAACAGCGACTAAACACTTTTGATTGAGGCTATGTTGAGAATGGAGAGAGAAAAGGGCTTCACTTCAACGAACCAGTTATCTTTACATGTTGCATTTGATAACATTACAAAGTGATATTTAGGTAGATACAATACCAATCTATGGATTTAAACACATTTGAAGATACATCTGTGAGGTCAAGGTTGTTTTTGACAGCCCGAACGAAGTCGGGCTGAACAGAGACTAAACACTTTTGATTGAGGTTATGTTGAAAAATGAGAGACAAGGGCTTCACTTTAACGGAGCAGTTTTCTTTACATGTTCCTTTTTATAACATTAGAAAGCGATATGTAGGTAGATATAACACCAGTCTATGGAATTTAACACAAGATACGTGTGTTACGTTTAAGTTGCTTTTCACGGCTCGAGCCAAGCCGGGCGGAAAATTGTGGCCGAGATAATGTTGAGAGTGTGGGGAAGAGATCGTATCATTTAAATGTGGGCATGCTTTAAATACGATGAATAGTGAATTTATGGGGTGGTATGTGATTTGATATAGATGTAAAAACATTTTCGGGCCAACGGAAATGTGTATCGGAATTGTCTGAAGTATATATACGTATTAAATCCCGTTTCGTTTAACGATTCCACTTTTAGACGTAACCTCGGTCAGCCAGTTCACAGGCTTCTCGTCTTCCTGGATTTTAGCCGATTGACTCGTAATAAAGTTATTATGGTACGCGTTTGTTGCTTCCGATTGATCATTATTATCATGCATTGATTAGTTGTAGGCATGGTTTTCGTTAATGGGTTTATTAGCCAATAATAGATTTGGCCCGCCTTGGCCCGGCCCGACTTTTAGGCCATCCCGTCAAAGTCCGTTTAAGCAAACTGTTGACAAACGTTTATAATTATTTATTACCCACGTGGTCAACGTATGGGTAGTTGGATACTAATCTCGTACGTCACACGAGTGTCGTAACGACGTCACCTGAGATTCTAACGATTTGATTGGATAACCGATGACCTCTCAATTAGGTCACGTTGTGACGGAACTACTTGTTCATTCATACGTGAACACGTGAATTCATTCATTCTACAACTTAAATGCATTGTGGGAATGTAAACATTGCGAACGTTGCCGTATTGCTGTTTAATTGAGAGTCGAACTGAGGCATTATATCCGTCGAAAAACATAAACGTAATGTCTCCAGTGATGTTAACCAAGTGAAGCAACTGCAAACCAAGAAAAGAGGTCCTACGGAGTAGTTTACTGTAGGTGGCTGTACGAGGCGATGACAACTGACATGCATCGTGACATCGGTTACCAATGGAGCAGACGAGAATGGCGTAGTGACGTCAATACAGCGTGACGTCATGCTAAAGTGAACTACAGAAACATATTCTTCCGCAACTCCTTTATGAAACCGGTTTCGGTTTGAAACACAACAATAAAAAAAATACGCTGTTTTGTCAATTTAATGCATGTAAGACGTGGGTAATAAATAAAATACCACACTCGGTGTGATTACATACGAATTATACGAAACCCGTGACCTTCCTATGGTTTCTGACCTCGTTTCAGATACCATAGGAAGGACACTCGTTTCGTATAATTCGTAAGTAATGAGAACTCGTGTAGTATTCTCTATGTACCGTCTTCTAAGAAAAACGTTCACCAACCCTGCGTTATATTGTTTTCTTGCAGATTTTCACTGTTTTAAAAGTCAACGTTAAAAAATTTGACAGGTGTTTGCTGTTTCGTATCCAACCACAGTCACCCATTTTCTGTCACGAGTAGATCTAGGCTACACATTTGCGATCTACGACTAAATATTAAATATATGATTGTACTCGTTGAAATAAACTTAATCTTTACAAGGGTGTGTGGTTGATA